ACTGTGAACTTGGGGTACTGTAAGCTACATTATTCAAGCTCAGAGTGAAAAATCAAGAACATGTGTTGGTGAAATGGGTGTTTGTTCACACCCCAGTAAAAGGATTGTGTTATTACAGCAACGCTAATGATGCTGCTGCAACTATACATTACTGGGCCAGAGGTTTGCAACACTGGAACTTGCAATGCCGATTTATGCTGAACTGTGGTCCTACTTCTCATTTAGTGATGGCAGAGCATATAGATAAAAACAAAAGGTTTTACGGACGTTGGTGTAAATGAATAGCTTCATTTGAGAGAAGATAGTTTAATGGTGTAGGGAACTTCATTGCCACATTTACTAACAATCTTGCACTTGTTAATGCTAATTTCACCTTAGTATCATCCTAACCACATTTGTAAAGCATGCACTCCACCCACTGTTACACAGAAAGCCTGTCAATGCAAACTCTTAGGCATTCAACAAGATCATGTTTGATCCCACCTGACAAGGGACGTTCTGGACTTCAGTCTGTGAAGCAACATCACAAACAGGTCTTCTGTATCCCTGGATCTTAACCCAGTCAAACACAAGGTTAGAGGCATACTGTACATCAATGCCAACCACTGCCAAATAGCCTTGCTGTTGTGTCACAGACTGAAAAAAACAGAATATTGCTTCACTGACTGAATAGGGGTACATCCCTGCAGTCACTTTATTTCATTTCTGATGTTCTGCAGGTTAATGTTGGACACAACAGGTATTGATCACATGGCTTGAAGGCAACATACCATTTCACAACATTCAAATTTGCTCCTCAACAGAGAACCAATACGCTTCAATTCTATCAGATGTTAATCTTTAATCTGGGGTTGTGTTTTACTCAGTGTCAATATGATATGAGCAGATTTGTTCATGCTTGACCTTCACATACTGTACATTGTTGAAGAACCCCCTCCCCTCCACAACACATCAATCTCAATCAAGACAAAGTACTCAAAACTAAGATGCGTTTGTAAAAGAGGTTTCTTCAGCATAAAGACATATCATTTGCTCCATCAACTCCAATATTTCTGTGCAGGAGACTACAAAGATTTTTATTCTTCATCTTTCACCACTGAAGGAGGCTCTATCATCTGAATGGGAATCAGGCAAGTTAAATCAGTGGGTAAAGTTAACATGATGTGAAGATTTTGTGAACTGTATAGATAATGATGTATGCAATCTAGATCATTTTTTAATGCAAACCCTTACCTTGCCTATCATATATAACAGTAGTTAAAAAACACACAACTATATGTTACCGAAAACATCAGAAATCTAAAACTAATTACCTTTTCATCAAACCAGCAAGGGCCAAGCAATATACTGCTTCAATTTTTTAGAAAAAAGTAAAACCCTTGTATCGACCAGTTCTTTAAGTTACACTGTAATATAACTGGGGAATGCTATTTGCCTGTATTTAGTGATGACCAGCACAAAAGCATGAGCCAGAGCTACATATTACAATTGCATTTCAAGCTACAGGTATCACAGAATTCATTATAAGAAGTCAATTTAAGCAGAGAGATCAATCTGCCCTATCTATTTAGAAGGCAATGCCAACCCTTTAATCGGGCTGTGTTCTACTTAACACAGCAGGAATACCTTTGCAGGTAATGATGTATAAAACACCCTTTGTAACAAGAACAGCAGTGTTAAGTGCAGGCACTGATGTACAGTACATTTCCTTAGACGAACACTGCTAGTTTGCCTGTAGGCTAAACTATGGGTCTATTAGTTATAAAAAAAAAAACTGATATAGCCATAGGCACTTACAGATCATCTGTTAAGTGTATGTACAATGTTGCTAAAAGAAATTATAGAGAAAACCAGTTAAGATGTATTTTAGAGAACTGCAGAGGATTTAAAGACCCCAAACAAAGTGCCTTTTTAATTTAAAAAATCTCCAGAAATGAACTTGATGTTGTAACAGATGTACTGTACTTCTCCTTTTCAGCTATTCCAACTTCTGATGCAGTACAACTAAGTGGCTATAGCTGTGCTCTTCATAGTTATTTTGCAATTTAAACCATCTCCTTACCTCTAGAGGCAAGTCTGGTGTGCCTAAAAGCGTTACCATCAAATTAGAGGCCAATGTTATTACCTGCCTTGGGCAAATAGCCACAACATTATCCAAAAGCCTTCCATAATGCCAAAGAAATCAACCTGATCAAGGCGCAATGAACAATGGATCATTTTTTAACAGATAAACTTAGGCATATAAAAATAGAACATATATATGTGTGTGTCTACATACTGTATAATATAGGTTCTAATTTAAGGCAACTTTTTTTTCTAACATTTGAAACTCTCTTAAAGTAGCCTACGCTACATTAACTTCTGGCTCTTGTGTAATCATGTGGCTTTGTAATCTCTTTAAAATGCATTAACATTAAATAGTATTTTACAGTGCAATCGTGTTGATATGGATTTTTAGCAGAATACTAGAATAGCGCCAAAAAAAGTATCTGTCAAATGTATCTTAACATTTTTTTTGTCTTTTTTATCTTAATAACCACGGCACTCAAGGAAAGGATAAAACTAGCAAAAACCCAATGTGCCAGTGTCTAAAATGTACCCCAGATTACCATGCGCGATCTCGGAAAAGAACGAGGTCTTTTCTGACTAATACAGTACATCCAATGTACAGTACATAGCATACACAGATACCAGTAATGGATATCATTTGACCAAGATTCAGTTGTATCTACTGTTTAATAAATCACCCTTTAATCCACAGCAGTACTCGCAGGTATATTCCGTGTACTGATACCATCAATTTTTTGTGTTCTGCATGAATGACCACTTTCCTTTTTATCTCGTACAAAGCCTCGCCCAACAGCACTGTCCGTCCTCGATCGAAAGTCACGGTAAAAAAAAAAAAAGATTTAAATCTTAAAAGGTAATGTCTATGTTTACAGCGTGATAGTAAGCAGTATGTACAAATGAACAGTTGTACCCGATAAAAGAAAATCATATTTCATGTTTCTTCATTAAGTGATAAGAATTTCGCCATCTGTAAGAATTTAGCCAACGGCAGCTTACCACAAAATCAGTTTAAAGCAGTTTTTAGAAAATGTATTAAAGGCAATCTTTCAAATGTATTGAGAAAGGCTACCACATACTGTACATTTCTATCATTTCGTAGCGGGCTTTGACTATAAAAATAAATGCTACTCAAAGTCCAGCGGCTATTTTGCTGGACAGGTCTTCGTTAGTGAACTTCGTTCTACCATAAACAGATGGTTTAGTAGAAACTATTGCAATTTGCCAAGCAATTACACAGTACTTGTTTACCAAACCCTTCCTCTATTTGGTCATCGATGCTATGACTTTAGTTTTCGGAGGCATGACAGTACATTTATTAGCTTAGCTGTCAACAAAATTACGATAAGCAGTACCTAGAACTGTCACAGAAGCCCTTTGTTGTAGGAGCCTGCAGACCCGTGTGATTGTCAGACTAAGACTCATTACAGAGTTGGTCTGAGGGCAAATATTTAAATGAGGTTCTAGTGCTCGCTAGCTCAAATGTTTCTGAAAGTTATTTGATTTAAAACAGAGAGGTGATTAATAATGTGGCTACGGATTTAATATCCAGTTTGATTTCGGCTCCAGGACTTTCGCCGGGAAATGTACTGAATGCATGATGTACTGTATGGACTGTATTTATCCAGTTTGACGGTTTCTACGCACCCTGCTGCTGTGTTGTAAGGCACTTCTCGAACTGAAAATATACTCCGTTGCGCATAATTCACTTATATATACACTGTATGAGTTCTTCCGCAACACACTGTTCACTGATTTTTACCCGCAGTTTTTATTAAATACATACTATTCCTTTTGACTGTACTTTGCCAAAATATTGTGCATCGTTTCTCGATACTCCACAAAATATAATAATCTATTCAACATCAGAAAATCATTTCTACGTCTTTCCCCCATCGGTATCAATGTATCAAAGCTACTGCAGTGATTTACAGTAGTAAGAATTAAGCCAAAGTATAATACCCTCAACTTAACCTCACAACAAAAGAGATTGCCGAGGGACCAAAAATCTACTGTACGGTACTTTCCAAGCCTCGTCTTTGACCTCCACACACCATCGGGGCAGATAGAAATAAACAAACACGCAGGTAGTATCTGCAGAAGATGCCACTCTGTTGCTCACCAAATAATTTAAGAACCTTCCTAAGCGTGTTTTGCGCATAATAACGATTATGAAACCGATTAAAGGAGGAGAACGATGAATAACGCAATTTACACAGAGACTGACGCCTAATACAGACACGTCACATGCACCTTACAAGCAAAAGCATTTGCACATACTGTGCTGTACTTTAAAAAAACAACAGTAAGTAATCATTTAAGAACTGACAAAAAACATATATGAGAAAAAAGACAAATATCGGTAGTATATACCGTGTTATTCCGGGATACTCTCTTAAATGGAAAATGACTATATCGCACAGAATCGAAAATATTGCTTCAAAGTGCAGCGCAGTTTATTTTCTCTTTTTTTCGTCAGTTACATGGTAAAACCGCTATTAGCACATTAAAAACATCAATGTGACGTTTTTTTATTGTTGGTTAGAGAGGTGGTAAGTCATTTTTGTGATCATGGCTATGTTTTGCAAGTTTAACATCCAACTATAGTCATTAATAAACTAAATAAATGCTTTAACTGTTTGATACAGTAAATTATTGTAATGTGCAATAAAAAACGACCCAAACACAATTAAGTAACTTTTGAAAATTAACACAAAGGGCCATCGTGCACTGTTCTAAACACAGAGCAGGTGTAGTTATAAATTGCGTGATTTAAGTCGATGCATTTAAAAGCATTTGCCGAAACGGGACCTTTAAATAATAACTCTGAAACATACTCTGAAAATCCCATCTTGGATTTCTCGCACCACGAATCACGTTCTACAGTGTCCAGCATATGTGCATTTTGATCCGTACAATTGCTCGTTACTCACCTTTTGCTAGCTGCGGGACAGCGGCGCTTATGCACAATACGATCACAAAAAACGGTCCCATCCCTTGGTTATTTGGGATTTCTTTTATTTTATTTTTTTTGTCTGCTTGTCCACGGTGACCAAAAGTCCTTCAGTTCCTGTTAGCCACGGTTTCTTTCAGAAAGTGAGTAAGTATTCCCTAAATTGATTTCTGTAAGTCCTTCTTGAGAGACGGGGGCTACACGCAAGGCTGTGTGCCTTTGGGAAGTGATTACAGTAGCGCTAGCGCACTAGACTCTCCGCGTTAAACTGCAGTGCCGCACGATGCGATAGAGAGGGTATGCGAGCAGGTCCCGATCAGAGAGCGCACTGTATACAAACAGAGACGGAGCAGCAGCGCGCACTACAGACGGTCCCCGCTCTCCAACTGGGGCGCTGTCTTACTGATAGAGACAACCCCTGCTCCTCCTCACACGTGCTGTTGCTGCCAATACAAAGCAACTTTAAATCTAGCTGGGTGGGACCTAAATTACCTTATCTCTCCTCTCCCTCCCCCCCCCCAACTACATCATCTACCCAAGGGAAGAGACAGGGCAGTGAGACGAGAGCAGGTATGCATTTCAAGCGATCGCTGCGGTTCATCTCTTTCAAGCTCCCGTTTATCTATTTTTTTTTTCACCACAAATTATAAGTTGAGAGTTTCCTGGCATCATAATAAGTTAGAGATAAAAACAGTTCAGTTGCTCATTGTGAGTAAGCTACATTCCGCAAATCAGATATATCGGTTTTTTTATACATGCAGGTACTGTATAATGATGCATATACTGGCATTTTTGTCTTTATAAAATTAACCCTTAGCATCAAATATACTATATATAATCTTGAATGATGCAATGCTCTTTTTCGACAGTAAGGTCGTTTATAAGGTTTTAATTAAAGCAAAAAGGGTAAATACTGTACTGAAGTTTTATTATTAAAGAACTGCTTCAAACCAAGTTCAAACCATTAAGCACGCTGAATCGAATGACCTGTTATGACCTTTCTGACATTATAACCTAATATTTTTACAATGTATTTAGAAATAGTTATTACAATTATTCAGGAATGCTTTTAATAAAGATGACAACATTTTGTGTTTTTTAAATACAAAGACTATCGCTATTTTAAGCTGCTTCTATATATTTTATTTTAATTTCTTTCTAATTTCAGCTGCAAAGAAAAATATCATAATGGAACTTATTAACACCATTTATACGGTAATAGGGTAGTTTACTCTTTCTGCAAATTTGTTTCTACCTGGATATGTTTAATTCCTGCTATGTGTGTTTTTGGTGATTTTCTGCATAGATGATCAAAAAAATGGTTAGAATTTGCTCACAGGGAAAAAAAATACTGTAGCGCCCACGTGGGGCGCTGTAGCCATGCGCACGCAAGGCAGGCTGGGAACGGCGGCTGAGGGGCGGGACTAGCCGCCCGTGTATAGTGGGACGAGGGCTGGGGACGCCCGCTTCCCTCTTGTGTCTGTGTAGGTGTGGTGCAGTGCTGTGTCTCCCCTGTCCCTGTGTGTGTAACCCCCCCTCAGCGTCTGTAATAAATGTCCTCCCATCCCAAGCCAGAGCCTAAGACCTGTTTCTTTCCGTCGGCGAACCCCGTGAGCGTTACAATAGCGTCACACAATGTTTTAACCTTCTGTAATTGGATAGTTATTAGCATGACAAATAAGGCAATGTTAACAAGGGTAGCAATACAGAATTACTTAAGCTAATCAACATGAAATTAAAATATAAAAGCATTGTCATACTCTGTAACTGGATATTTTGCTTTAACAACTGTGCAATAGAAGAGCAATTATGATTTAAAAATATCAGAATGAGTAGATAATTGAATGTCCTGTTATTTACTTTTCTAAAGACAATTTCTTGTATATTTATGGAGTTTTTTACTAGATATGCTCAAGGTAAAACATTATTCCATTATACAGTATATATGTGCTGTGTTTCTACTCCATAAAAGTTATACATACTCATAAGATCATAAGCCAGATGCTAAAAAAACTGAAATCCAGATGGCTCTGTTTTCTCTGGGGTTCCTGTCATTTTTTTATACAATGTGCCAGTGGATGTAGACAGATTGCATGGGTTTTGTCACCTAAACACCTATTAGTTTCATCGTGTCACTGCTTCAACATTCACCCATCAAGACTGAAAATCATAAGTCATCATCAAAGATCCAGAATCTGTCTGCAGACAAAGTCCTAAAGGCCAGCTGAATTTGGGCTTAGGAGTTTGTTCAAAGGTTTATCAGTAAGAGAAATCTGATTGAAATTATGTTTTTAAAGCAATGCGGAGGCTATCACAATCATGTGTTCTACTGTATATCTTCAAAATAATGTGGAACTAGCCTACAGTCGCTAAGAGACATTAAGATATCGATCTCTTATACTCACACAACACTTTTCATTTGAACATCTGTGTATTGCAATCTCAGTTAACTCTCTGCTCATCTCCTTCCCTGAGTCAGCACAGGACACCTGAATGTTTCTCTCTTTTTAATGCTCAATAGGCTGGTCACAGAAAGTGAATTTCATAGACACATAACTACGGTCCTACTAGATTGATTACGAAATGAAAAATGTGTGATAGTCATGGTTCTAAATATTAGATACATCCATCCATTTTCAAATTCAAGTCTATCCTGGCAAACAATGGGAGCAGGGCTGGATACACGGCGGATGGAATGCCAGTCCCCTAAAGGGCACACACAGACAGAAACACGCACACTCACAACAAGGACAATCTTCTCCAGAAGCCAATGAACCTACCAGTATGTCTTTGGACTTGAAGTGGAAATCTAATACGTAAATTGATTCTTAAAAATGTAGAGAGCTTTGAAAAAATATATTGGTGCTTTTAGATAATATATTTCAAGGATGTAACTGCTGTGCTACAGTGCGTGCAGAATTTTAGAAAACAGTTCGTCAACAAAGTACACTGTTTAGGTTAGTTTAGAAGACAATGTACCAAAACAATATATGCTGTCTGGGTCATTAGAATTAGCTGAAAGTAACTGATAAGCTTTGATTAACAAATCTAGTTTTTCTTCTCTCGCTCTATGATGTAATCTGTTTTCTCTTAGAGAAAGGGGAAGTTTTAGAAGGGACCAAGTGCTGAACTTTTTTACAGCGCAACGTCTTATAAAAACCCTGTACTGCTTGTAACAAATTGAGTCTCTGGTTGCACTTTGCGAAGTGGCAGCAGGGCTCCCAATATTGCAATATTGAAATAAAGACCTTACTCAGGTGAGAACTCTCTCTTGTGGCTTCCTTGATAGTTATATTTCCATGACAGACTGTAGGAGGAAACGGGAGCACCCAGAGAATATACTGTACAAATTCCACACTGATAGCATCGCAGGAACTGAACCCAGGTCCTCAGTGGTATAAGGCATCGATTCCAACCACTGCACCCCCATGCAACTCTAAACCACACTGCATATCTAGATTATGTACAGTATTCATTTCCATTCTTATGGAGTGGGGGTAGATATACTGTAAACAACAGTTATACTGTCTTACAACTATTTAATAAGATCAATGCAAATTAACAATAGGTACCTGGACAAAAAAGAGACACAACATAATAAAAATAGTTATCAGTAACAGATATGAGAAGAATAACAATAATTGTAATAGTAACAGCCTATTGTTTCTTCACCTTCATGGATACTTTGTTGGATTTCTGTTTTACATTTTACTCATGTTAACTTTAGTTAGAAAAATGTGAGGAGTCAGAAGGAAATATTGTATAAACTAGCCACCAAAGTAGATTAATTTTTAAGTTTGTTTTTTCCTGCATTGAGAAACTTACAGCTTTTAAGACCTATTGAGTAAGAAAGTAATACAGTATTTAGTTTGGTTCTGGGTTATTTCCAAGGAGAGATTTAAATAATGTTGCACCAAAGTTAAAGGGAAAGTCCAACTGCATGAGAAATAAATGTTTAAAAGTCCCTGAATTTTAACAAATACATCTTCAAGAGTCTATGATGAATAAACTATCATATTTTGTTGTCAGAATGCAGATGAAATGTCTCAGATAAAAAAGGGAAACTTCTAGACAAATAGATGGCTTATGTATTAAATGAATATTTCATAATGGTGTATACCAAGGAAGAAATCAATACCAAGCCTCAGGACAAAGATAAAGTTCTGTATTAAATAGTATTATCGCAGAAGAAGAGGCAAAATTGTCATAAGTGCTAAAAGCACTTAAAATAAACAAATCTCTACGGTTTCTTGATATTTTACCATATCACTTAAGGTAACAAGAGATGCTATTCACAGAAAATGATTCCAACTCTTCCAACAGTTACTCAAAACACCCAACTATTGAAAGGTGACAAAACTAAACCATGTAAATATAAACCAATTTACTGCTATTACATAAGATTATGGAAGCAATAATTAGAGAATAGACAATCATCTACAAGACAATAGTATTTTAGAGGATAACAAGCCTGGATTTAGAACATATTTTTCTTATTATTTGTAGAAATACCTTAATACCGTAAGTGATGAAAGCACCAGCTGTGGTGACATAATCATCGGAGTACCACAGGGATCTGTATTAAGACCATTGCTCTTTCCTTAGTTATTAATATATATTTTTCTTCAATTTATGTCAATGATCTGGAGTAATTAATAAACTCATTGAGTTTAGAGATGATTACCAATCAGGGGAATTAGCAATCAGTGAATAAGCGGAAAAGGAAATGACAAAATATTTACTGTAGATAGAATTCAAGACTGGGTAAACATCTTGCAGATATTCCTGCAATGAAGGCACCTTGCAAGTGTTAGCAATGTATAGTTACTCTGAGATTTGTGCTTGCTTGCCTTATGGTGTCAAGAGCTCTAAGCATTTCCTGAATGAAAAGGACTGACATTCTGTCACTGTCAGCACGAAGGTGCAGATCACTGGAATGCCTCTCTTGGGCAGTTTTGCTGTTGTGGGGCATGTGGAGCCCAAACTGCTTTAAAGGGGTTTGTTGCACACAATCTCTTTAAGAAATTAAATTATTAATGCCTGATATTGTAAGTAAAAAGTAGAAATATTCCTGCTCTGCGCAAGATATCCGTTCACACAATGAGACTATTTGCTCACCACACACCAGCTATCAGTAGGGAGGAGAACAGAGTAATGAAGCCAATTCATAGACGGGGATTATTAGGAGGCTATGTAAGGGCCAATGAGAAATTTGGCCAAAACATCAGGGTTACACCCCTACTCTTTTCGAGAAACGCCCCGGGATTTTTAATGACCACAGATTGGGACCTCAGTTTTATGTCTCATCTGAAGGATGGTGCCTTTTTACAGTATAGTGTCCCCGTCACTATACTGGATCATTAGGACCCACATAGACCTCAGGGTGAGCACCCCCTGCTGGCCCCACTAACAC